TCTCTCTCTCTCTCTCTCTCTCTCTCTCTCTCTCTCTCTCTCTCTCTCTCTCTCTCTCTCTCTGTGTCTCTGTGTGTGTGTGTGTCTGTCTGTGGCATACTCCCGCTAGGACTTCTCTACTGATTTCTGGACGTAATTGAGGTCAGATACATCGAGGTTGGGGCATAAGTGCGTCCAGATACTGTGAGGATTCTCTCAGAGGAGAGATTCTTGGAAATATTGATGACGAACTTCTCCGAGAGCATTTGCCAAGGATGAGTTTTTTTTTCCCCCCCAAGGACAACTGTTCATTAATCAAGAACGAAAGTTGGGGGGACTATAAGGTTGCTGTGTTGTTGTTAATCAAAAAAAAAAAAAAAAAAAAAAAAAAAAAAATGAGGGGATCACACAGGAGCAGATACTCTCCTAGGGCCTCGCTGCAATACTCACCTAGTATGCAAAATGTATCTCCCGCTAGAATGTGGAAAGGTACACCCACCATTGTTTTTGTCTTTTTCACATTTGCTGACAGGTGCGGGGAGATCTCTACCGTCTTGCACAAAACATAACGCTCACTGATCGTGAATGTATACAAGCCATATCTCCCGTTTGAAAGTCATACTGAAGGTCCATTGTGTTTAGGGGAAGAGAGTACTCTTACCCATAAACTTCGCCGCCTACGATAGGGATAGGCGGTGGGGAGATGAACCACCTGGTTAATTAACTCCATTTCAAGAGGGACAGAGTTTTCCTTAGGAAATGCATCATCTTTAAAAGAGTTCTTTGTGTGTTAGGGGGGGAGGGGTAAAGCATCCTTAAGGCAGGCGTCAAAGCGAGTGATACGCAGTGAAAGACAGCGAGATAGACACAGCGACACACACACACACGCACACACACACACACACACACACACACACACACACACAGAGAGAGAGAGAGAGAGAGAGAGACGTAGCGAAAGACAACGCGAGACATAAACAGCGAGAGAGACACATAGCGAAAGACAGCGAGAGAGGGGGAGAGAGAGAGTGAGAGAGAGAAATAGGTGGAGAGAGAGAGAGAAAGAAGGGGAGAGAGAGAGAGAGAGAGAGAGAGAGAGAGAGAGAGAGACAAAGACAGACGGAGAGAGAGGGAGGGAGCAAGAGAGGAAGAAGGGAAGTACTAACCCTCCTGTGCCCATAGGTCTGGTGATGACGTGAGTGTCCTTCGGGTCAACGAGTCTGGCAATTCCGAAATCTCCCAATTTCGCCTCCCCATTCTGTGTGAGCAGTATGTTCTCCGCCTTCACGTCTCGATGTATAACTGCGGGCTTGATCCCCTTATGCAAGTACGCCAGCGCGCGCGCGACCCCGACTGCCACATTGAGTCGCGACCGCCACGTCATCGGCGGAAGCACCTGCCCGCCCGCCGTTTTCCCGGCCAAGTGGTCCTTCAACGATCCGTTCCCAATGAACTCGTACACCAAAGCGTACCTCTCTCGGGAACTTTCATGGCAATATCCAATCAATCTGACAAGATTGGTGTGCCTCGCCGTTGACAACACGCGGATCTCCTTGTCGAACTCCACTTTGCCTTGGCGGGAAAAGTGGGACAGCACTTTCACTGCCACGTCAGCAGCTCTTTCGGTCCAAAACTCCCCCCTGTACACGCACCCGAAGCCGCCCTTTCCTAAAATGGAAGCTTTTGAAAACTTGCTCGTCATCACGCTCAGCTGGTCCCACGTGAAACTAATCACAGGCTGATCTCGCGCCGCCAGCTGTCCCGCTATCTGTCCCAATTCCAACTTGATTGCGGCGTCTCTTTCCGCCCTGTAATCACCCCCCCCTCCTTCAACTACATCCCCTCCTCCTCCTCCTCCTCCTCCTCCTCGACGCCCCCCAGCCCCACTCATCATTCCCTCCCCTCCCCCTCCCCCCCCTGCCCCTACGAAAGGCGGCCTCATTGGGAAAGTTGTCGTTGTCAACGTTCCTCCACTTCCCAAAAGCGCTTTCGCAACTACCGATCCCGATCCCAACCCCCCTCCCTCTCCCTTTCCCCTTCTCATGCTATCTCTTCCTTTCCGCTTGTTCAGCGTGAATCCGACAAAGCAGCACACTCCGACCACGATCACGAGAGACAGACCGATCATCGTTAACAGAATAATCTTCCACCTTTTGTTATCTGATGCTAGCGTAGAATTGTTGGCACTTCGCGAGTCCTCCCCTCCTCCTCCTCCTCCTCCTCCTACTACTCCTCCAACGGCCAGTCCGGACCCCTCTCCCATCGTACTGATACCATCGACGGTATTGTCCTCCACCCTCGGGGTCGATGTGCAGACTAGCTGCTGCTGATGGCGCGTCTGATCGTCGCTCGACTTCCCCCCCCTGCGCCAGACTGCCTCCGAGCCCGTGTGATTACACACTACGCCGCGCGGCAGCTCCAGATCCGTGTCATCAAGCCGCAGCAGCTTCAAGGTCGGAATTTGGAAGATCCCGATCGGTACGACACCTGTCAGATTGGGATTGCCGCGGAGATCGAGCACTTCAAGCGCCGGAAGCGCGCCGACCTCCATCGGAACGGTCCCGACGAAGGCGTTGAACGAGAGGTCCACGACTCGCAACGTGGTCACATTGTTTATCCAAATCGGGAAAGGGCCTGTCAAGTTGTTCTCCGTTACGTTCAGAATTTCCAAAACAGGAAAGGCGCCGAATTCCCCAGGCAACTCCCCCGTCAGGTTGTTCTTTCCAAGGCGGAGAGCCCTCAGATTCCTAAACAAGGGCAAGAGGCTCAAATCGGGCGCGGAGACCATGGTGCGCATGAAAGCGTAGCCCCAATTAACGGCGACAACAGTGGGAGAGGGAGGGGGAGGAGGAGGGGAGGCGGGAGGAGAGGCGGAGGCAGCGGAGGAGGAGAAGAGGGAGGAAGAGTAGTAGTTGGGAAAGACGGAAGAAATCGGGTAATCGCACTGCAGGCCGTAGATTTTCGAAGTGACACAAGGATCATGCAAGTAATCGAGGGAAGAATTAACGACCTTTGCGTAAGCCAGGCAATCAGCGGTGAGAGTGGGTCCGTAAACCGGGATGATAGCGTAGATCTCGATCCCGTTGGTGAACGGTAGGGCCTCAAACCCGTCATCTGTGGTGGCCAGACCAACCCTGAACCGGCTTTGATTAGCAGATCCCGGCTTGAACAGATTGATCTCGGCGATGGAGGAAGAAGAGGAGTAGGTGCTCATGTATTCCTCGTCGAAGAAGACATCGAAATGCACTTCTTGGCGTTCGCTGCGCCCCCAAGCGCCGCGGTGATGGGCATGGATCGCGACGATGAACTGTCGGCAATCTCCAGGGAGATCGAACGCGTACTCCAGCCATCCCGACGTCTCTATGCTTGCGTTCGCCGGACTTCTCAAAGACTTATAGACTCTCGAATCCACCCAGCTTGTTATAAACTGGATGGGCTCGGATGTGTTAAACACGAAAGCCGGCGCATCCGGAGGACGGAACCAAAACTCCTCCTCCTCCTCCTTCTCCTCTATACCACCACCTCCTCCTGCGCGTGCAACGTCGCCCTTCTGGAGACTACCTACTCCTCCTCCTCCTCCTCTACTGCTACTTGCATTCCTCACATCACTCTCCCATCGATAGGCATTTTCCGCATCGTCGGCAATATCCGGGCCGCCGGCATTGAGGCGGCGCTCAAGACGCAGCATCACCTGGTCGGTCAGCCGCATTCCGGGGGAGGAGAGAGGGTTCTTGCTCTTGTTCTGACTAAGGATCTCTACGGCATTTACCCATGGGCCATCGGCAGATCGGATCCCGTTTCCCTCTACGAACGAGGAGGAGGAGGAGGAGGAGGAGGAGGAGGAGGAAGAGTTGGAGATATCGAGGTCGAGACGAACAGTAATCACGGATTGGTTTGAAGATAGTGTGATCAGGAACTCGCGGTCCACAATCCGATACCCTTTGGGGCGAAGGCCGAGGGGAGACAACTGCACAACCCCCACGCGCACGCCGTTCAAGCTAACGAGAATGGGAGGAGAGGAGGCGGTGGCAGCACTCTGTGGGATGAGTCGCAGAGTTGGGCTGTAGTAGGCAAAGCGCAGGCGGACAAGGTAGGTGCGCTGATCATCAACAAAGAAATGATAACCCCCTCCCCCTCCGGCGGATTTTGCGTCGGAGCTTTCCGCCGAAGACGGGGGAGCTTCAGATCGGGACATTGGGTCGCTATCGCTGGGAGGAGGAGGGAACGAGCGGAAGGTACGGTAAACCGCGTCCGGACCTACGGTCGGGATCGTCGGGATCACGCCTATGCTAGCAGATCCCGGCTTCGCATTCCAGAGTTCATCCGCTGATGATGCTCCTTCGAATGCCACAGCTTGGAACGAGGAAGGGGTAGGAGAGGAGGACGAAAGCGAAGGGGAGGGGGAGGAGGAGGAGGAGAAGGAGGAGGAGGAGGAGGAAGAGGAGGTGAAAAAAGGATCTGCTTGCCATAACCTCCCTGCATTGTCTGTCATCGCCATCCCACCGCAATTGATCCGTATCCGGACCTCTGGTCTAGCATCTTCTTCCTCAGCGTAGGGTTCATTGTAAGGTAGAGGTTCGTCTTCCCAGCTCATTACACTATCCCTCGCTCCCATAGGCCCTCCAACTTCACCTCCCACAAAGCTGCTGCTCGGAGGAGCAGCAACCACGAAATCTTGCGACATTACCCACCCAGGAGAGGAAATAGAAGAAGATAGCATTATTACAAGAAGAAGAAGAAGAAGGCCGCAGAGCTTCAAAACCCCTCTCGCAAACATCCTCCCACCCACTTCCCCACGCAAACAACAATCCCCCATCTCCTCTCCTTCCTCTCTCTCTCTCTCTCTCTCTCTCTCTCTCTCTCTCTCTCTCTCTCTCTCTCTCTCTCTCTCTCTCTCTC